CTTGCGTTAACGTGCATTTCCAAGAGATTGAATTTATGTCTGATATCTAGGAGGAATCGCCTCCCCATGTGCTCAACTGGTGTTCGTCCCAACTGATATCGTTGCTCAACACATGATGGTGCATAATAATCCCGAAGCGTTTGGTGGTATGTCGAAGTGGATATCCTAGTTGATACATTTCTGCAGACCAGAGCCACAGAGGAATAGTCTTGCAAAAAAAAGACAATTTTTTTTGTCTAAGCAAGAAGTTTTTTCGAAAGAAATCTCGCACAAAATTTACGTGTTTCGTGCTCTAATTCCAAGATTTTAACTCCATATTTCTTAGGCAGTAGAAAGACTTCTGCCGTTGCAAGTACTATAAGGAACGATGGTCTGGAGAAAAGACTCACGTTAGGTTTACGTGTTGTTCGCGCTGTTTACAAAGTGGATGGCATAGCTGGATTTTACCGGTTTGTTCGTTTTTCCTTACAAATGTGTTCGATATGATAGCTCATAATAGGCAGGTTCTTTCAAGACGATGGAAGAATTTAAACTGATGTGAAATGTTCGTGTTGTGTTGTTACCATAATGCTGCTCTTTTTTTGTAAAACCAGTTTACTTTTCTTTGTAATAGGATCTTTTCGTTTTTATCCTTTCGAAACTAGAAAATTATCCACATCGTGACTGTCCGGTTATCCTCTTAGCTCAAATCTGTTTAGTGGATTTCTCTCCGCCGTGATGCTATACATTCCATCGACTATGGTATTTTGGTCTACGTATTATCATGCGTTGAGTGGTTTTCGACTGATACGCCTGAAGGTTTGTTGGTTTTCAACTTTTTAACTTTTTTATAATGATTTTTTATCTTCTTGTTTGCTCCAAGATTTCTTTTGTTCCTTTCTTCTCTGGTCTCCTAATTATTCTGCATTTTCCTTCTGTTATGTAATTGAGAACGTATGGAATATTTACTTTCAGGTCACGGAACTCGAGACAGGAGTAAAACCAAAGACTGCCGATGACGTTGACAATCGCAATTTCTTTTTGGACCAAGTATATTTTCTTCATATTTTAATCGGCTTTTCTGGTGTTTTTCTTTATGCTCCGTTTTGAGGCGGTATCTGGATCCATAGGCGGTGTCGCTTCTGCTTGTGTCACCAATCCATTGGAAATGCTTCGCATACGATTACAGGTTGGAGAGCTTTTTTCTTTTCGATGATAGGCTCCCAGTTGTAATTTAGGTGCATCGTACGAATTACGCTGAAACTATCAGGCGATTGTGGAAATATGAAGGATCGAAAGTTCTCACAAAGGTACATTTATTCCGTTTTAAAGCTTTCTTGTCTTCTTTTTTTTCTGGAAATTTCCACGAAATACATTAGAATC